TGAAAATTCTTGCACTGCGGGAGTGAGGGGTCCCTCAGCCTGGCCCGTGCCCTTTCACAGTCCAAGAGTCCTCAGGGATGTCCTACTGACATCTGTGGGAGGTGACCGGACTGGTCCATCAGGGGATGGTGCCTGCCCCTTCACCCCATCGCCCCCTGTGGCTGCTGAATGCCGCCCCCTCCAGCATCACACCCTTCCCTCGCTCTGCCCACTGGCACATGCTTTGGCTGGACTGGCACCACATGCATGCCGGCCCCTGCCTACTGGTCATTCTGCTGTTCAGTCAATTTGCACATTACACTTTTATTATATAGGATTACTCTCATCTCTAACTATTGTAATAATCCACCATGATTTATAAGAGCCCGATATGATCAGACCCTAGTATTCTTAGATATAATCACAAAGGCTTACTGTTCTTCAAATATATTAAGCCCACTCAATGTGTCTTGGCATTTACAATTCCTTCTTTCTAGAACATCGGCTCTCTAGATATCCTCACGGTTCATCATCTCATTCATTATCACATTCATGTGGCTTACCTTCTCAGTCATTGCTTAAATAGCACCTCCCCCTAGGGAGCCTTCCCTAACCTACCCTATCTAAAATAGCAACCTCCAAACTCCATTCCTTTATTTTGAATTTGTTTTTTTCTTTCATAGCATTTATCTGTACCAGAACATTACATATTTATTTATTTATTTGTTTATTATCTGTCTGTCCACACTGGAACATTAGAAAAATAGAGTATCGAGTAGAAGCTTTGCCTATTCTGTTCTCTGCTGTATTCTCAGTGGCTAGAAGAGATATTTTCACACAGTAATATATGTTGATGAGTATCTGTGAATATTCACATTATGTCGTATGCTATTATTTCCATAAATTACATTAAATTTTATAACAATTTAAAATAACACATTACAAATATTTATATCATTAAATATTTGTCTAATACCTTATTAATGGGTATATTATTAAACACACCAACCTCCTGATGAACATTTAGATGGTTATAATTTTTCATTATAAATGAAGACATGATTAATTCTAATGAAATCTTTTATTATTTAATTATTCTGAGAATGAGAGGCCCTATGCAAAATTTGTGCAGGAGGGGGAGGAGTATCCCTCAGCCCAGCATGCACCCTCTCCAATCTGGGACCCATCTAGGGATGTCCTGACTGTCCCACCGGGATCAAGTCTAAGGGGCAGTCTGACCTCCCTCTCACATCAATGCCAGGACTGCTGGCGCCCACTGCCACGGCTGCCGTTCCTTCCTGATTGCCCCTAAGCCACTTCAGCCTACCACGCTGATCACATAGAGGCCCTAACCATTCCCATGGCCAAGCCTGATTGGATGTCTAAACTGCTCCTGCCAGCCTGTTTGGCCCCCCCAACTCCTCCTTCCTCTCTGCACGGGTCAACCCTAAAACTGAACTGCCCCCCCTGTAGGTTGAGCACCTCCAAACTGCCCACCCTTGCAAGACCTGGCCCCTCTCAACTGCCCTCCCTGTGCAGGCAGGTGCCTACCACTGCCCTCCCCGGCTTGCCATCGTGTGGTGGCCATCTTGTATCCACATAGGGACAGGAATCTTTACCACAAGGGGCATTGGAAGTGATGTCAATCGGCATATTACTGATTACTCTTTTTAAATTAGAATAGAGGCCTGGTGGCAGCAGGTGGGGGCCAGCTGGTTTGTCCTGAATGGTGTACGGATCAGGTGTGGGGAGTTCCTTCGGGTGTAGGGCAGCCTGGGTGAGGGGCCTGTGGTGGTTTCAGGCCGGCCAAGCACCCTGGCGACCCAAGGAGAGGCCCTGGTATCTGGGATTTATGTATATTCTACAATTGAAACTTTGTAGCCTGGAGCGGAGCCAAGCCTCCTGCTTGCTCCATTACCAGCAGCCATTTCAGTTTGGATTTGTTTACCTTCTTTAATTGAAACTTTGTAGCCTTGAGTGGAGGCTTAGGCTGGCAAGGGCAGGTGGAAAGCTTGGCTTCTTCCATTGCCGGGGAAATCCAAGCCTCCCTCCTGCTCTCTGTGGCAGTAGCCGTTTGGTTGGGTTTATTTGCATACTTACTCTGATTGCATGGTGGGCGTGGCTATTGGGCATGGCTGGTGGGTGTGTTGGAGTGATGGTTAATTTGCATATTACTCTTTTATTAGGTAGAATTCTTCCCAGGAGTAAATTTGATCAATTGAAGAAAATAAACATTATTAGGCTTTTTATATAAATTATATTTTTCTCCAAAAAGATATATAAACTGATACTTTTAAAATAGTCCCATGATTAGTTTTCTTTATTATTTTTTATTAGTTTTCTTTAATGTAAAGTAATAGAATGTCTGGTTTTAATTAAGGCTGGTTAAACAAATATTGGTGATTAGTATTTATTGGAGATAATAAGGAAGGTTAGTAAGAAAAACAAATGAACTAAATTGAACAGTCCAATATACTATACATATTATATTAGAGACTAAATATATGCATAAAAGAAGAGACACATACTTTAAACAGTTAAATTTTCTACATTTTAGGTTAATTATTCTCAAAAAAAATGTATCTTTCAAGCAGATAAAAACTGTACTTACTTAAAACATCAGTATCTTCTAAGTCCTGAAGAATGAGCTCTTCAGCAGTTTTACTCTTTTTCTTTATGATGTTAATACAGTGAAGAACTGACTCTGGTAATTCAACTAGGTCCTGAAAATTTCAATAATGAAAGTATAAACTTTTTCATTAACACTATGTATCAAATATCCCCTCATTCATTCCACATCAAAAATGTGAGAAAATGCATAGATGAGGTAAAAGGCTATAAAGAGCATAATTCATCTCACACCTGTCAGAATAGCTATCATCAATAAATCAACAAATGACAAGTGCTGGTGAGGATGTGGAGGAAAGGAAACCATTGTGCACTGGTGGTGGGCATGCAGACTGGTGCAGCCATTGTGGACGACAGTATGGAGTTTCCTCAAAAAATTAAAAATGGTACTGCTTTTTGACCCAGTGATCCCACTTCTGGGAATATATCCTAAGAATCCCAAAACACCAATCAGAAAGGATATATGCATCCCTGTTTATAGCAGCATGATTTACAATGGCCAAGATGAGCAGATAAAAATCTGTGGTACCTTTACACAATGAAATACTATATCGCTCTAAAAAAGGAGGAACTTTTACCCTTTGAGACAGAATGGATGGACCTGGAGAGTATTATGCTAAGCAACATAATCCAGTCAGAGAAAGACAAATGCCATGTTACCTTACTAATATGTGGAATCTAATGAATAAAATAAACTGATGTACAAATGGAACCAGAAGCTTGGATGTGTGGGACAGACTGGATGGTGTCCATGGGGAGAGGAGGAGGGTGACTGGATAAATAAGGTGAAAGCTTTCGCTGAAGAACATGTGTGCTTACCCTGTGGACACTGACAATATTGTGGTGAAGCCCAAGGGAGCAGGAAACAGAGGAGAGGGGAGAGAGAAGAGGAACACCTGCAAACATTAAAATGTTTTAATAAAATAAAAATAAAAACTGCAAAAAAAGGGAATATTTCAAACAAATATATATGGTAAAAATTTGCTTTTCATTTTCAGATGTTATGAATTATATCTATGATTCTGTTGAATTTCAAAATCACATGAAAAATATCAGGATATTTAGTTTCACTCAAATTAAGTGTGGTTAAAAAGACATACTAATGTAAAAATATTAAATTTTCTCAAATATTATATGTATAGGTATTGAAATCCTAATTAAAACTGAGAATATAGTTATTTTTTGAAGCTTGGCAAGAGAGTTTTGTGTTGTTGTTTTTTTAAACTTAGTTGAGAAGATTTTGAAATTGCAAAACAGAAAATTGGACTCATTTAAAATTGAAAAATATAAAACTAATACAGAAAACATTAAGATTAATGGAAAATATAAGATAATCTTGGATAGATCATATGTAAAACACCAAATGTATAAAAAGATAAAATAAATCAATTAAGAAAAGTTGGATTATTCAACAAGTGACACTAGAAACATTAGATAAGTATGTTCAAGGTAATTTCAAATTAGATCTTCATCTTGTAACATAAATTTCCATTGGGTTAAGAGTTTTGAGGTAAGAAAAGGAATCATAAACAGATTTTTAAAGCATATAAACATTGGAAGAAATATACAAGTGAAAAGATAGCATGTTTGATTTTTTTAAAAAAGCATTACCCTTATAGATCTTTTCACATAAAGTTTGCTTCCATCCATACATATTCATATTAGAACGTTCACGATTAATGTTAAAAAGCAGGATACAAATATCTATAATAATTAAAGCGTAATATTCTAATTAGATTGGACATCCTTCCAGGATGATGCTGGGATTGCAGCTGCCACTGCTGCGAGGGAGGGATCCAGGCAGCTGGCTGGGAAGGCGTATTCTTGCACGAATTTCATGCATCAGGCTTCTAGTATATACATAACATGGTATAATCCCAATTTTACCCAAAAAATACACATAAGAATGTGGATGAGTTTTATCTTCAATAACCTTTTATCTTTAATAAGGTGATTTTTGTCTTCAATAAACTTTTATATTTAAATATCTATCAATTTACACTGTTTAAAGATGATCCTAAGGTTAAACATGAGATAAAGACACAAAACACATTGAGAAAGTAAAATATCTCCTGAAAAGTTTCCTCCAATTAAAGGGCTCAAAAGTCCAAAACTTAACACTTACAGCATCACTCTCATCACTCTGAGTTTCTGAGATTGAATCAGTATCTACATCATCTTTTTCCAAAGAAGAAATGCTGATTTTGTCCAATTCAGTTTCTATTTCTTCATTGATCTTTGTATCATCAGCATCTTCCATCATCCTTTACAATAAATCACAGAACTAATCAAAGAAAATTAAAGAGGCTAATATGCTAATACAAATTGTGGGTTATTTAATGTGTCATAATAATCCAACATTGTTCTATATACACATTTTAGCTTAACAAATGTTTATCACACCTGATCATGTCTGAACCATATATTTAAGAACAATGTTTGACTACAAAATGGTAGTCAAACCTTTCCCTAGACTTTTAATTCTCTAAGGAAAAAATTACATGGAATAAGCTGGCTTGCCTTCCTGAACAAAGAAACTTCACAAAAAAACTCATCAAAATAGAAATGATTAATGGAAAAATGCATATGATCATCTTGAATGTTCAGAGATTAAAATACAGAGAACAACCTAAGTCTATATATGGGGAAAATATAAGGTTAGTTTCTATTCATCAACTCACGAGTTGTTCATTTTAGCAGAGAGTGCCGTGTTTTTGTAACAATACATGTAATATTGTATAATTATGGCATGTAAAATCAAAATTTATTTCAGTTAAATCTTTTTTTAATATATTTTATTGATTTCAGAGAGGAAGGGAGAGGGAGAAAGAGTTAGAAAAATCAATGATGAAAGGAAATCACTAACTGGCTGCCTCCTGCCTGCTCCCGACTGGGGATTGACTCATGTGCCCTGACCTGGAATCAAACCATGATCTCCTGGTTCATAGGTCAATGCTCAATCACTGAACCATGCCAGATGGGCTATTTAAATCTTTAATATTTATAATATATATGCATTAATCAGTATATTTCAATATAACTTCATGTCATCATCATCATCACTATCATTAGCTTCCAAGTATTAAGTAGCTGTGACAAGGCAGGCACTAGAAGACATTTGTAAAATGGGTAATCTTCAGAGTAACTTAAAAGGTTAAAGGTCATGAGAGTCATTGTATAGATGAGAACACTCAGGTTTGAAGAGGTTACTTAACTGTCCATAGCCATTACATTAATAAGTAATGGGGGCAGGATCATAATTCAGACATCCTGAATTCAAATCCTGTTCTTCACTACCAAATGGTCCCCAAACTCAAGCTATTCATCTGCCCAGCAATCCTTCTGAACATCTCCTTTTCTAATAATCTTCAAATTGTTTATCATAACCCATTAGCAGATCAAAAAGTTAATTTAGTGCCTCTTGATTATCAAGTATTAATGACAGGATAGGATAGAAAATACTAAAATAGGCCAGAAAAAAGAAAAAAAACTATAATTACACTATATATGCTAAAGATTTGTTTAAAAACAAACATGTTTCTAAAGTATGTATGTGTGCTTGAATTACAATGTAACCTTTTTTTTGTTGTTTTATTGTGGCTCTTGGTAAAAATAATTTTGAAAATAACTGTACCAGTCAGCTATTATTTTATTTTAGAGACTATTCCAAACTTTCATTCTTTCCTCAAGTCCCTGGCCTTTCGACCTCTGAACTCTATCTTCTTGGATTTGCCTGCCTCCCTCTCTCCCTCTTTTCCCTTCCCTCCCTTCCTCTTTTTTTTTTTTTTTTTTTTTTTTTTGTCTTATTTTACTCATCCATCTCAAAATCAACTTTTTTGGTGGATTCAAGATGGAATTATGCTGAGAAACCAAAGCATGAGATACTTTAGGATTCCATTTCTATAACATTTTTACATGCCACAATTTTATAAATGGAGAACATATAAGTGGTTGATAAGAGTTGGGAGCTGATTGTGTTGGAAGAAGATGGTTATGATGATAAAAAGCCAACATGAGAGATCCTTATAATGTTGGAACTGTTCAGTATCTTGATGGTGGTAGTATAATCTATTCAGATAATAAAAATTATATAGGACATATATACATACAAATAAGTACAAATAAAGCAGATTGCATCAATATAAATATCCTGGTCATGATATTATAATATAGTTTACAAAATATTATCACTGAGAGACAGTGGACAGTGTATACAAGGCTACCTTTGTGTACAAGTATTATTTTTTAAGGCTGCATGTGAATCTACAATTACACCACTAACGTGTATAGATATCCTACGTACTCAACAGGAAAACAGATAAATAAAATATAATGCAGCCAAGGAATAGAATACTATACTAGTTTTTCAATAAAAATAAGCACACTTACTATCCTCCTCAGGAAATATAGCCACAGAGAAATAATTTAAAAATGGCAGGTATCAGAGAGAGAGGCAGAGTAATATCACTCTTATGTAACCACACACACCTTTTATTTTTAGACAGAAACATGCTGGGAGGCAGTGAGGAACTTTTGATTGTCATTTCATACCTTTATGTTGAGTGATTTTTAAAATAATAAATATGCAGTACTTTCATAATTTTAAAAACTAGTTTAAAAATACTCAGTTCATCCACAACCTTTCTCACCAAAAGGAGAACAAAACACCATCACTGGTGCAAAATGTGATTCTGTAATCAAACCAACTTAAAGTGCAATTCAAAGGTTAGGTGAAACTTTTTTTTTTAAACGTGCTATAAAGCAGAATACACAGGTATACAAAACTTTATGTAGAAAGAAAGACAGGAGACTCGGGGAAAGGTAAGAGTCACTTCCACTATATGTCCCTCTGTGCTCCTCGGCTGATCTTTAGATCAGCTCTGTCCAATTACATAATCGAGCACATTTGTAATCTTAAATTTTCTAGTTAGTAGCAACGTTTTAAGAAATAAAGAGAAACAGGTGAAATTAACTTCAATAATATATTTTATGTAACTTATTTTATCCAAAATCGTATTTCAACATGTAATCAGTTAAAAACTGTTATGAAGTTCAACCTAAAAAGGCTACATTCTTGTTTGCAAACTAAGTAGTCAACATCTGATGTACATTTTACACCTACAGCACATTTCAACGCGGACTGGCTGCATTTCAAACCCTCAACCACTTCCTTTGGCTGGCAGGTGAGTGCAGCCCTAGGCTGATTATGACGTGGTGACAGCAAACATTTGAAGTTTATATTGAATCACTTAGAATTGGCTAAAGCCGCTAAACATGGTAAATCTTAAGTAACTCTACCTTTCAACCATAGTTCAACTATAATAAAGGGGGAACGAAATCTACTTTTAAAAAGTAACCAAATTTACGTATAAAAAATAGACTAAGAGAAAGAATAGAGAAGAAGGGAGTGCGGAAGGCAGTGCACCTTCATTGAGGGAAGGTTAGTCAGAGGAGATAAAGTTTGACTAAGCCACCAAAATGCCCCGAAGTGAAGGAGCCTGGAGCCTGGAGCCTCGCGCAGCGGCCCGCGGCCCCTGGACCCAGAGGCTCCGGCTCCTCTGCGCTCCCGCGGCGCTGCCTCCTTCCCACCACGACCCGACCTTGGGACCTTGGGGGCCCAGCCTTGGCGGGGGCGACCTCGCAGGAGAGGTCGCCTTTTGGGGGCCCCGTGTGAGTGACCCCAGCTCACCCACCAGCAGCTAAATCCCTCCACCTAAGTGGAAGAGAAACCAAACAAACTGTAACCACGGAAACAGCCAATCCCCAGGCAGGTGGGCCGCGCTTCCTACGGGTGCTCCAGCAGGACAAACTACCTCCTTCTGCAATGGGCATGAAGGCTGCATCTTAGGGGCTGGATGGGGAACTTAAGTAGATGTTAATATTTAAGTCATTTTGGAAAGTAGTTAACAAAGAACTTTAAATTGTTTCTGATCTACCTATACTTATTACTTGTATATAGTCAATACTAAATTGCCTTTGTTCATTCCACAAAAACTTAATCCTGAATAGTAATTTATGGGGTCGGAAATATGAAAGGGAAGCCAATAAATTGTTTGCCTTCCATGACAGCAGTTTCTTTAAAAAAAAAAAAAAAAAGTAAATTATCACTCATTGTCTATCAACAATCCTCTAAATGAATGAGTTAGTGGAGTGAGAAATTAAGAAACTTATTTTCTAATTGTTTTACTGTAAAATATTGACGTGACTCTCACTGTTTTAATATTAAATTTTAATTTTATGTATAAATCATGTGATTTAACTTTTACTTAAAATTAATCAAAGATTTTTGTGTGGAACAAATATATAGAATACAAATGTGAAAGTTAATTTTAGTAACAGGAATTTCTAATTTTTATTGTTTGTAAGTTTGCAAACAAAGAATTAAATTCCAAGAGGAAGTGGCTATGCATAATTGCAAAAGATATCTGACATACAGTAAGCTAAGGGCAAACATTTAATTGAGCCTTTGAAAGAAAATAGACTCTATTGCTTGGTAACAATACTATAATAAAGTTGTATTGTATCACCTTAAGAATTTATAACATAAAGTGAGAAATCACTAGACTTTTGATATTAAAAAACATGTTAATGCCTCATTCAAGAAAGATGATTTTCAAAACTAAACTATTCCTGGTTTTAGATCTAATCAAGTTTAATATTTTCATTATCAAAGTTCATGCTAAAATGCTCCTCCCCTTTTTTTTTTAGTTTAGTTTTGTGGCTGATTTATAGACTATTCAAACTCTTCACTTATAATGGCCAGACTAGCATATGATGTTGAAATTCACATGTAAAAATTTTAAGCTTAATTTTATTTATAATTAGGAAAGTAGGTGTTTTCATATATATATATATATATTTATAAACTATTAGTAATCAATTAATTTCTAAAACTAATTTTAAATAGCTAATTTAGTAATCAGCTAACTTGAAGATGATGTATAGATTGCTTTCCTTCATAAATCTTACCTTGCCAAAGGAATGGGCCCATTACGAGGGCAGACTCTCATCTTGACCTCCAGGGGGCGCCACGCAGTCTTCCCCAGTCATGAGGCATGGTTAATGCCCAAAAACAAAATAAATAAAAATTAAAATAAAATAAAAAACTAAAACTAACAGAAAACCAAAACATAAAACAAAATTAAAATAAAATTTAAAAAAAGATGCTTCCCAAGGCGCTGCTGGATATCCTACCTGTGGGAGCCAGAGCCGAAGAGACCTCCACCATCTGCTTTACAATTGCCTGCCAACGGCCTCGCCTCGTTATTCCTCTGCTCTGTGCACCAGGCCTCCTGCAGCTCTGCAGCTCCGCGTGGACTGTGAGAGATCAGAAACAATGTGAAGTTCTTTGTTAACTACTTTCCAAAATGACTTAAATATGAACATCGACTAAGTTCCTCACCTTTCAAGTGTTACCAGGTTGGACTCTGGTCCTCTTCCTGCGGGGTTTGGTTGTGTCAACTCCGCAGCAGAAGACCTTTAGGAACGTCTTCCAGGCCCTTTGCGCCAAGCCCGGCCGGGCCAGGGTGTTGGCGGCGGGAGAGGCTGGGGGGCTGCCCTCTTGGGGGGAGCTGTCAAGGGGGGCTCCCTCCTGGTTCTCCACCTTTACAGCCTTTCTCTCCACCTTTACAGCCTTTCTCTCCACCTTTACAGCCTCGTTCTCCACCTTCACAGCCTCGTTCTCCGCCTTTACAGCCTCGTTCTCCGCCTTTACAGCCTTGCTCTCACTGCTGCGGAATCGGAATCGGTTGCTGGTGCGGGGGGTGGGGGCGCCCCCCGGGCGGAGCTGCGGGGCTGGGCCGCGGGTCCCCGGCGGGAGCGCCTGCACAGGCTCCAGGGGAAGAGGGGAGGAGGCGATGGTCTCCAGGCTGGGAGGTGGCGCGGGCGGGGCGTAGGTCTTTTTCACCCCCAGGCACGGGGGCCTCACCATGGATGGTCTTGTCGAGCCCTCTGCCTGGAGCGCCTGCACAGGCTCCAGGGGAAGAGGGGAGGAGGCGATGGTCTCCAGGCTGGGGGCCGGGGCGCTGGTCTTCTCCGCCCACAGGCAGGGGGGGCTCGCCACTGATGGTCCTGACGAGCCCCCCGATGCCCGGGACTCTTGGCGGCTGGAAGGGGTGGCGGCCCTGGTGTCAGGGGGCCGGTAGGGCCTGACCTTGACGGTGCGGCCCGGCATCCTCCCCATGGCCATCCTGCCCATGGTCATGAGGAGGATGCGGTAAGTCCCCATTATTCGATTGAATGTCTGGCCCGCCACGGAGTCCCTGATGTCCTCCTCCCTAAAGCCCATGCCGCGCATGGTCTCCACCACCTGGGGGTCCAGGTCCTCCCCGGGCGGCTCGCTGTCGGGAGGCAGGTCTTCTGGACCCAGGTCCATCCAGGGCATCCGCATGGCCTCCTCCAGGGTCGGCCTCTGGTCGGGGTCGACCGTCAGGAGCCGCTGGAGGAAGCTCCTGCCCGCCTCCGACATGTAGTAGGGCGGCTGGTAGTGCCCCTCCACTATGAGCTCCAATATCGTCTCTCTGCTGTCGCTGGGGAAGGGCACGCGCCCCGTCACCGCCTTGTAGAGGGAGGCGCCCAGCCCCCAGACGTCGGCCTTCAGCCCATCGTAGGGCTCGCCCCGCAGCACCTCGGGCGCCATGTAGTAGAGTGTCCCGCACCAGCTGGTCAGCAGCTCGGTGGCCTCGTGGCTGAGGCCGAAGTCCGCCAGCTTGGCGGTGAGGTCTTCTTCTAAGAGGATGTTGTCCGGCTTGATGTCCAGGTGCGCGAATCCCCGCCGGTGGCACAGGTGGAGGGCCAAGAAGACCTGGCGGAACACCACGCGGGCCTGGCGCTCGGTGAGGCGGTGGTGCCGCTCCAGGTGCGCCTTCAGGTCCCCGCCGCGCACGTACTCCATCACCAGATGTACCTCTTCGGGGTCCACCACTACCTCCAGCAACCGCGATATATTTCTGTGCTGTAGGGTTCTTAAACAGCGGAGCTCTTGGGTGGAACTGGAGACACCGACATCGCGCTGGAAGATGGTCTTAACCACCACCTTCGTGCCCGTGGGCACGTGTCTGGCCAGCCTCACCTTCGAGCACGCGCCCTTGCCGATAGATTTCCCTAACACATAGTCTCCCATGCTCTGCCCCTTGGTGGTAGTCGGGACAGAGAAACGGGGCATGGTTACAGCAAAAAAGTTAAAAATAAAAATGAAAACGCAGAGTTGTCCTAGTTAGTCTCAGGTCACCTAGACGAGCTCCCTGCACTACACGGACTAAATCCTCAGCCAAGGCAGGGACTTATGTATAGGAGTGGTTTGCAATTCCATCACACTGGCACTTTATGAGGTCAGAGCAACAAATGGACCAATCCTGGCTGGGGATGAACCGCAGTAGTTTTTCTCACTTTTTGGTCTCATGACCCTTAAACTCTGTGAAAAACAAAAAGACACACACTTTTATTTGGGATATTATTGTATGTTGATATTTATTTTACTAGAAATAAAAATCTATGTAGGTGCGTACACGTGTTCGCGTGCGCACACACACACTCACACACATACACGCAAAAAAGAAAAGTCTGACTTATTCTCATGCTCCAGTTCTCAGTTCAAATATCACCTGCTTAGTTCTCAGTTCGGATATCCTCCCTGATCCATCCATTCCTACCTACCTCACTCAGGCCATCACGTTTGTCATCTTCATAGCACCGACCACAGTGGGGCTGATTCTTGTTTACTGCCTGTCTTTCCCAGGAAGGAAGGAGCATGACTATAGTGTTCCCTGAGTCTAGCACAGTGAGTGGCAGCAAAGTAAGTATTTAATGAATGTTTGTTCACTGGATTAACAGGAGAGTTTGTGGTAACAAAATATGGCCAACTACTTAATCAAAGTGATTTATGAAATGTCTTAAAAAACAGTCATGTTCTGTCCTCACGCAGCTTTTTGGGCAGATAAGATAGGACCAAGGAGGGCTGAGGTCTACGTTTCTAGGTACGTGGTTGCTCAGTGAGACTGAGGAACAGCCAGCTGGTAGGAGCCTCGCTGTAAAGATTAAAGATGATTGGTCCTTCCACTGGCACTTGCTAAGGACGAAATAAATTTGGACCTGCAGTAAGGCTGCAAGGTATGTTTACATTTTGAATACCCATTTCCAAATGACACAAAAGACTTGTCTGGATGAAAGAATGTCTACAGCTGAGACTGGTTTGGCTCAGTGGATAGAGCGTCGGCTTGGGGACTGAAGGGTCCCGGGTTCGATTCCGGTCAAGGGCATGTACTTTGGTTGCGGGCATATCCCCAGTATGGGGTGTGCAAGAGGCAGCTGATCGATGTTTCTAATTCTCTATCTCTATCCCTTCCTCTCTGTACAAAATCAATAATATATATATATATATATATATATATATATATATATATATATATAAAAGAAAGAATGTCTACAGAGGTACAAAGGGTGGGGTAATATGTTGGGGTAAATTCTACCCTTTATGGAGGCAGAGAGGGAGCAGGGAGGCTTAAGGACACTTTGGGGGAGCCTCTGGCATACTCTATTCCATACTAATCTAAGAAAAATCCCTACCTTCAGTACATTGAGTGTTTTAATCACATGTATGTTATCCTAGTAATCATTTTCCTTTAATAGTTCCTGAAGTCTCAGCTTTGTGTCAAGGGAATCTTTAGAGGGATTGGCCTGTGAGCTTCTCCCTCTAGAACACTTTTGTTTGTTCATTTTTATCTTACTGCTGTGATACTCGGCTCCTAAACATGATAGTCTTTGCTGCTGAGCTGATTGGGACCCAAATGGGGGACATTTCATCAATTCTAAAGAGATGTTTACAAGTTAGTCAGAGATTACAATAAACTCAGGAAGGAAAGGAGAGAAACTTTCCAAGAAAGTTGCCAGTGTAAGAGTTAATTATATCTATTTGTAAAAATTGTATTATAGTTACTTAAGCAACAATACCAATAGAATAGAATATTTTCTTGGCATAATCTCTTTCAGCAAGGTAAATGCAGACTCAAAGATAGGACATTTAATGTAAAACTGTCAAGGGAAAAGTCAAGCTCAAAAACAGAGAAAAAGGCAATCTTTTTTTTTTATCAATATGCTACATCAATTATATGTATCTAATTGTGCCCAAATGAGCATATAGCTTTTTTATTTTTTTATTTTTTACTTTCTTTTGTTCGTGTGTGTTTTTTCCCATAGATCCCCTCCTCTCCACATCCACCCCTCCTCAGCGTTCACCACACCATTGTCTGTGTCCATGGGCTATGCATATATACATTTAAGTTCTCCAGTTAATCTCTCCCCTCCCAACTCCAACCCCCACCTTCCCTGTGAAATTCATCAGTCTGTTTCATGGTTCTACGTCTCTGGATCTATTTTTTTCTTCAGCTTATTTTGTTCATTGGATTCCACATATGAGTGAAATCATGTGATACTTATCTTCCTCTGACTTATTTTGCATATAATACTCTCCAGGTCCATCCATGCTGTTGCAAAGGGTAATAGTTGCTTCTTTTTACAGCAGGGTAGTATTCTATGGTGTAAATGTACCACAGGTTTTTTATCCACTCATCTGCTGATTGGCACCTGGACAGTTTCCAGATCTTAGCTATTGTAAGTTGTGCTACTTTGAAAATAGGGCTTCATATGGTTTTTTTTTTTTTTTTTTTCCGATTGGTGTTTTGACTTTCTTAGGATATATTCTTAGAAGTGGGATCACTGGGATTTTGTCTCCAGACAGAGCCCAGCTCTTCAGCAACTTGGCTACTTAGACAGTTGAACTACAGCCCCAAACACTGAATACCACAACCAAGTCCTAAAAGACAGCAAGGGCAGCCCCTTTCTGACTAGTCCTGCCCTCCTCTGTCCTATCACGGCTGCCAGCCTTGCCTTCTGGCCTCTGAGACCTCTGTGAGGTCTCGCCTCTCCCAGGCGAGGACCTGGCCCCCGCTCAGGCAGCTTCCTCTTCGCAGAGCTGGGTCAGGCCCTGTTCTCTCCTGGGCAGTGCAGTCTTTGCCCCTGCTGCCTCCCACTGTGGGACCTGTAAGGAAGGAGGTGAAGCTTCAAGGTTGCAAAGAGAGTCAGGAGGGGTATACAATAAGGTGAGGTGTAAAATAGTAATTCTGACATAAAATAAAAACAGGGCTCTGTGGGAATGCGGGGAAAGGAGCTGACAATGCTGCCACTGGTCAGAGCAAGGTCCAGGACAGGTTTTCTGCTAATCACTTTCTCT